TGATAAGATTCTATATGTTATATATATATATATATATATGTACTCTGAAATACAAATTATACTTGTCATGTTGTTGTATGTCAAATTTAGTAAATTAAACAACACAAATGGGAGCTTATATTTTATTATAAAATTAACGTCATTAATGCTATAGAACTTACAAAAAAATATGCAATAACTTTACATTAGGAAATAATTGTGTACAAACAAATGTACATACTAAAATAATCAAAAATTATGAATCAATCAATTTAAGAAGCATGAAAATATGCATCAATTTTTTTTTGTTTGACATAATTGAAATCATGCATTTGCGAAGATTATCCAAAAATTTTTAATAATTAATAATAGACCATATCGGATTACAGGGGGTGCCGGATTAGACAGGGGCCGGATTACCGGGGGTCCACTGTATCCTGATCGGGATGACCAGGATAAAAAAAAATATTAGGCAGCTCATGAGCAATGTGTGTTGTTTAAGATTTTTTTAACTCTTATATATTATTTTACATATAACTTCTAGCATATCTATTTCTTTTTTTCTTTTTTTTTATAAGATAGGGTGACAAACGAGCACACAGTTTACCTGATGGTAAGTGGTTGCTGTGGCCCATAGACATCTACATCTATCCTCGTTTGCAAATCAAAATGCAGATGCGTTGTCACCCGTGAGGACTAAGATGGAATGCCTCTTTTCCAGTAAAATGGGTCTCCGGTTCTCTACACTCACCATACGAAACACAGCAGTGTTAAGCTGCTATTTTACGTTGGTATTCTGTGAGAGCGTGGTCCTTTCCCGATCAAGCCGACCCATTCGTGCTACAACTATATCAGTAATATAGCTGCAGCATGGCTCTACCACGTAAAAAATTCTAATTTAAAATGTTAATAACTGGATTATGCAGATGTAAACTACATTTGTTTTCACCAGATAACTTCAGGACAATTGCTGTGTGTGCGGACCACAACAAGTCATGAGTCTGAATCCGCCATTTGACTATGTTTGTGATACGCTTCTAACATAAGCTTTTATGTTTCCTTCAAGAGGTTAAATGTTATTATTATTAGCATTGCTAGTATTCAAGAATCATCGTTAGTATTGATGGTATAATTGTCGTGCTACGTAAGCTTAGTATTAATTGTTACTGACAGTATCGATGGTATTGATAGTGACATAAAATCGATAGACGTCTATTTAACGAAAGTACAATACAGTCATTATATCTATAATATCGAAGTAGTACATGGGAGAGATAAGAAATGAGTGTTACCACAGGCAATTCAAGTAATAAATTTTAATAATAATTGTCTTTTTAACACGCAATTATTGGCTTCGCGAGTATATAGCTATATAGCTATGTAATGGAATCTTGTAATTTTCACCAACTTGTACATACGGCCGATTGACTTGAAAATTTGCACTCGTATAAAGGTCCGATGACAATACAATAATTTAATAACATCCTAGTATTCTTATCGGGACCACCAGGATAAAATAAAATAATCATTAGGATCATCGCAGCTTGTATTGTTGTGTCATTATTATCAATGCGTGTTGCTTAAGTTTTTTTAAGTTCTTACATTATTACGTCACAGTTTCGTAGGTCGTTAGCGTGTTTTGCGTTATCGATAATATCGATATTCTTAGTAGTATTTATCTTAACTACATATATTTTACCTTTTCGTCATGCCTTTTCTTTTAAAGATAATTATAAGGATTTTCCTTGCTCTTGGAGACGTTATATATACATGAGTTGGGCCATTTAAATTTTTATATATATACATATTGTTCCGTTCGGGATTCCAACCCGTGACCCTCGTAGGCCTCGTTACCTACTGCGCTACTGAGTAGTCAATATCTACTTTTCAAATTCACTAAAAGCACTTCTTGTAGTATTATTTATTTTGTGCTATTACGCAAAATCTGTGTGTTTCCAACGTTCATTTATTTTTCTGTGATAGAATCAACTATAATAATTTATATCTCAAATGATAATGTGGTTTATTGAAAGAACATTAGAGTTTATTTTGATTTATACCACATAAATACACGTCATATTAAGTGTTCCGTGGAACACTTGAAATTTTTATACCTGTGCGTCCTACCTGGAAACCGTTGGTATTTTTATGATAACAAATATTTTGATTGGCTTCCTATTTTCGACAGGTCTCAATCACTATAACATTCTTTCATTAATTATTCTTCGGTTTTACGCAACTTACTTAGGCTTTTTGTATTTGTTTACATTTTATAAAAATAGAAACATCTATTTTCGGTATTTTGTACGCACAGAACGCATTCTATTAGCAATAACGAATGTAATTGTTATTATTAATAACTACATTTATATCGTACCTACTGTTGGGTGAAACAATAATGTTAAATATATATATAAACGATGTCATTTAGAGATAATATAACAATTATAAAAACAGTTTCTGGTAAGTATAAAATTAATGATGTTGGTTGTAAATAATGCATGATTTTATTTACCCGCTTTTGTATATTGCACAAACAGACATTTTTATGGCTACTTTATCAAAAGCTTAAATAATAATGCTTACACATTTTATGCTAACAATATATTTGTAATTGAATTCGCATTTCACTTAATGATAAGGAGATAAGTAGCAAATTTTAACATTGTTACACCTGGGGAGTAACTTGGATTGCATCATAGCTCAAGCTTTTAATTTAACCGACTCTTCCATACTTAAAATTAAAAATAGGAACAAAACATTGGATGCACTGCTACTTGTCGATTGAAATAGGTAGAGTAGAATTCATCCAGATGGAATCCAAGTCATAAAGTGGACAAACCACTCAGTGCAATAACATTTTTATTTTTTATACTTTATTTGTGACTGTTTTCCAATGCAATTTAATACTCTAAAGTGCCGTGTAATTTCTTAAACGTCTGATGTTTAAAACTTTCCCCTGTGCGTTTTATGTGAAATATCATTTTAAGTGCACCGGTGCACATGATATGTGAATTTAATTCTTATGAAATAAATATAACAAGAGAATTAAATAGGATTTACAATAAATTTAAATCTTACTTGCCTTACATATCCAAATTGAAAAACTATTATGCTGATCACCAGAATAATAGGTAGATATTATAAATCATTCTATTCGCTAACACCTGGTTTTTGGAATACATAATTATAACATTAAAACCAGTCTCATTGAATAATATATTTGGGGCAATGGAAAAGTTGGTAGGGTTACACATATTTTATTATAAATGTGTAGATATTTTTAATGTATTTAGTAATTACGTATAAAACGATATTTTTTAGTATTTAATTACCTCATATTATGATGATATACTTGTACGAGAAGCGGTCAGTGAACGCAACATGTTTTATTTACGTTCGCTGAAAGCGGGTAGGTATGTAGTTAGGTACCCCGAAGTCGTTAGTCATAAAATTTACATTGTATAAGTAATAACGTTTTTCTAATGTAACCAATATTATTCTGTATAAAAAATTAACCCTTACTCATATTTGACAATTCATACATGATATAAATAACTTTATAATAATAATCATGATTATTTAAACTAACTTTTTTGATAGAAGATTCCAGGTCAAATTACAATTTTATTAACGCAGAGTTCAATTAATTTATTCGATGTTGTCATTCGAGGAAAATCGATGAAAAATACTGGTTAAATGTCTAAATAAATTATAGTTTATTTTTAAAATTTTGCGTGATGTTGAATAGGTAGGTACGAGTATAGGGTTGCCATCAGCCGATTCCGGACCTTAGTCTTCAAAAGTCCGGACCATGTCTGAAAACGAGTTTTCCCCGGCAAATTTAATAAAATTGTTTACAAAAAATAAAATAAAAACATGGTATTCATTTTCAGTTTTTATTAATTCCTAGTTTGATTGCTGTTTTTTAGCAATGTTTGAAAACATCCATAAAAACATAAACTATGGAAAGAAATACACTTAAATAATTACGTCTTTTTACTATTAAATTATAAAATATTGTCTTAATAAGGTAATTTGGAAACAGAAGTATTAGGAATGTTCTTTTTATAGCAACAAATAAAAAAAATGAAAATAGGCTAAGTAACTTCAAAATTTTAGATTCTATAATTGAGAGTACACCTGTACTTGAGAGTGGTGTTGTGGCCTTATTCCTTAGAAGATCACAGTGGGAGATGGCCGTGACAGTCAGAGATACCTCGTTTGCGTCGCAGCGTATGTATTGGCGGAGTCTGGTCCCTGTGTCTTATAGGAGGAGTTCTTTGCGTTTGCATATCGATTGGCTCTGGGAACTTTGGCTTTAAGAGTATTAGAACCTGTCAGGGAATAAAAATGTGGAGGTTCTACGCTTGGGAGATAATGTTTGAAAAGTGGAAGCGCAGGAAACAGTACTGATGAGGCTGTTTTTCCAGCCCTGTTAGATGAGTGAACAAGCGGAACGAGTCATTGATCATCCGGTTGGTACATGTGCTTTCTGTGTGCTTCAGCTAATACCTAGATCCAGAACTGACCAAAGTAAGATAAATCCGGGGAAACCGGGACGGATGGCAGTTATAAATAGGTCTTGTGAAATATTAAATGTTATTTATTTTGTTTACAATTTCAGTTTATCTCTTCATGGGGGACAAACTTATCTAACAAACTCAATCATTTTCCCTATTAATGATTAAACTTAATATAATTATTTTTTACTGTTCTGTGAAACAATATTGCGACAATTTACAATAAATGCGACATTAGCAGAAATAACATTTTTTTGTAGAACTTCACTATCATGACTTGACACGTTTCACAAAACGACTAAAGGAGCTGACATTGTACAATAACAAAATTATCCATTCGTCACAAAAAAATAATATATTTTTCATCGAATTAAAGGCCTATAAGCTGACACAACACACGTATCAAACAAGAAGTATCATATTTTGTTTTACATATTTCTTGATTAGATAGACACATGGTTAATTACCATGTAACACATAGGTTAGAATTTTACTTACCGCATAGTGCTGTTCCATATTCCTTCCAATGTGAACGAGTTTTGGCTGTCATTGCAATCGTTAATATATTATACGATAATTTAGACTAAATTTCAATTACTGGGTCTTGGAATGAGATTTTCTTGAGCACTGTTTTTATTTTATTATTAAAAAGACTACATAACAAAATTTGAACCCATGGTTATAATATAAATAATAACAAAGAAGGATACTAACTAAATATCACAATAATAATATTCGATCTAAAATTAAGTGGATTTTTAAAAGTAATAACGTTATAACCGATTCGGCTTCATTTTGGAAGGTTTATGTGTTGTTGGATTGCTGGTACATAATGCGAGGAGACGCGTGCGAGAAGTATCAACGCGACGACGGCGAGTGAACAACTGAACGAAATTCTGAACGAAACGAGACGAACGAACTATTCGGATTGCTTGGAGCAGAATGGAATGAGGCAAAACGGCGCGGGCGCATGCTTTTGCTCTCTGTTTATCGGTAAAGATTAGTTCGATGTTACGTCAGATGGTCCTTAAGTCTATGAAAATAAGGTTTCTATATTTATGGTGATACACGCGGTTACGTTGCATATGTGTTCTTTAGACACGCGTCTGAAGACGGCGAAGCGATAGCACGACCGTGCCTCTGAATATTTGCAGAGACACGGTATTTTTAGTCCATGTAATGCCGAAAATAAAACGAACAATAACTCTGCACCGCAGGAGACTATGCTCATTGCCTGTTGTATTGTATTTTTGTTTAGTTTAATTTCGTGTTGAACACACTTTACGCATAGCATGCTTATATTGGATGGATGTCGGTGGCTCACGACCGTAATTTGTGACAATTTAAGGCCTGTATTTCAATAGTGAACTTGTAGTGATAGTGATGCTAATTTTTATATAACTGCAGTGACAAACGTACTTACAGTTCACATGCTGGCAAGTGTTTATTGCAATCAATGGACACCTGCAGCCAGCTTAAAACAAAGAAAGCTGCAGATGTGTTGTCACTTCTAAAAATAGACATTATGGATGGCATACTTTAGAATATTGAACTGACTCTCTATACTCTTCATCCTGGAATTCTGGAATTCAATTCATCCTGGTTTGGAACTGAGGATCTGATTTCAGGTGGTTAAAACTCCCTGATTATTCGAAAAAACTAAATATACATTTTATTCTTATTTATAGTCCTGGCCATTAGCAACCGCTTTTAAAAAAATATTGTTTTCTCTACTTGTAAAATCCTTATGTTATAATATGTTTCAATTTGTATTATTAATTGTATTATATCAAATATCGCTCCCGTGACCTATACTCCTATAGGTATAGCTAGTGTAGTAAAAATCCGGTCTACATAGAAATCTGGGCGGATTTTATTAAAGTCTGGTCTTGTCCATTGAACTATTAATGGTCTTTTCACTTAAAATTGGTCAAAATCGAATTTATCCGGTTAAAAGGCAACCCTACACTGAGCCCATCAACCGTTTTATAGAGGGAGAATAGAACGTTTATGAGGTGGATCCATTATACGTCCATGGGTGGATCATGCCTAATCGAAGTCTTGCTTCACTGTCCTTTGGAGAAGACAGTATAACCTATTTTTCCCCTATAGAAAATAGGATCAAACGTTCAAAAGTTAGTGCCTAGAGAGAATGGTACTTACTATCTTAAATACGTTATTTACTTATCAGGAAATAGGCTGATAAAGGCAGAACTTTTTTATTCATTACGAATAAAACGTTTTTCATTAGTCCTAGAATAAAGAATGTCATTTTTCAGTAATTATTTTTGTAGATGGTCACAAGAGCCACGCCTATCTTGAGCTGACGTAACTTTGCCCAAGCCTAACCATAATACTTATAGCCCTTAACCTCGACTATTACAACCAGCATATATCACTGCATTTCGGCCCATCAAAGCTATGTGGCGTAAAGCTGTCTTCGAATGGCGGACAAACAATTTGACAAAAAGGTTACTAAAACAGATGCGGGCCTACATTAGCAACACTTTTACGGAATTGAAATAATCCACAATATGAAATGGTTTTGAAACATGTGGGTTGTGCCCATTTAGTATAGACAAAGTGGATTACACAAAGTGTCTGATGCCCTCGAAATCACAGCAAGCCATTTTAGATGGTCACCGTTACGTGCATATGAATTACCAAATATTTTAAGAATAACGACTTAATCAGAAATACCTGTATCAAATTTGCCTTGTGTCCTGTCACTTAGTAATGATGTGTCAGTACCAGAGCTTATACAAGCTGCAGAGATTATTGTTGAGTATCAGAAAGAAAACAAATTCTTATGTTTTTCATCAACTAGGCAGTAAATTTTTAATTTGCTGGAGGTGAATGGGTAATCGTGGAAATCGACGCAAACAAATATGTTTTAGAAAGCCCTAAAATATTTATAGAATTTTTGCCATTGCCAAATACCTATCAAAAAGCAAAAAACAGGTAAACAACACCGTTATTTTTTGTTAACGAGAGAAGATTCGGAAACTGTGGAACTAGGAAAACAATGAGAAATTGAGCACAAAAAGAAAAATCAGAATTGAATTAGTCGGAATTAGTAGAACAAAACAAGACGAACAAAGCCAAAAACTCTGACATTATAATACTCTCTAAATGCTTAATCTAACCAGTTAATATCACAAATTCAGAAAAATTTAAAGGGTTACTGAAGTAGAAAAATTTAAAGTGACTATAGGTAACCATCCAACTACAATACAGTATGAACAGACACTGTAGCCTTTATCTACAAAATATCCAGATAATATTTTATAAAATTAGAAGAATTTAACGTCTATGGGCCACAGCAACCACTTACCATCAGGTAGACTGTTTGCTCGCTTGTCACCCTATCATATAAAAAAAAAAACTATATTTAAGGTAGTTATTTTTATTCATTTTTGTTTTATTACGCTAAAGAAGTATAACTTCCTACGTGCATACATAAATACACACACACACACACACACACACACACTTTTTTTTTAAATTTATCATAGCGATCCTAAGTCCGTTAAAAGTGTGAAGAAAAAATTGGAATCATATTTCGCGTCGTGTAGTTATTAATTTAAGCATCAGTAGTAAGCGTGTCACAAAGAAAATTCCCAGTAGGCAAAAACTTGGGAAACGAAAACGTGAATTGAATCGCACACACAAAAGCGCGCGTACGCTTTGTTGTTGTCCATAAATCACATTTAATTTGGGATAACAAAGTATGGCTACTCTTTGAAAATAACCCTGTATATATATATAGAACGGTGACCTCTTTTAAAGTAAAGTCGATAAGTACTGCAAAATATTTTCATAGAAAAAAACAAACTAAATTTTTTCGTGGTATCAGGGAGAAGCGGTAACAATTTTCCTTATAGTTCTTCATTTTGGTTTTTTACATTTCGGCATGGTTTCGGTTATAAGAAACCGCTTACATAATATCAAACTTTTTCGTGTTGTCGAATGGGAAACCATTGTGGCGTTGAAGTTTAACTTTATTTTTAATTAATTTCTTGGACTAAAACTAGGACATAGTAAGTTACATTTTACACCTGGATGATGTCTTTTTTACTATAAATATCATTTTTTGTTGTCGATTTAGATTTCGACCTAAGTTCTGGTTCTAGTATCAGAACCGCTAAATGCCGAAATTTCCGAAATACTTACAAACTCTGCATAATATTCACCAACTTGTAATTAATAGTGGTACTTTAATTGCAGTATAGTTATAATTTTGAATTTAAATTAGGTATAATTAAAAGCTATGTATATATACGTTATGTTATGTAGGTTACGCGCAGAATACTCTTTATTAGATTTCAGTGCAAAGACGTGATTTTACTGCATAGGAAGAGTGTGGTCAACGTCCGTTTACGTTATAAAAATGCGCTGACAGAATTAAAACATACACACATTACGCAGTGTGCGTGATGCGCGAGACCTATTATTTATTCTGTGCCGAGACGTGCCTTCCTAAATACATACCTCTCATAATATTATCTTGACATTTATTTCATCTCACGTAATTTGCGATAAGTATGCACATTTATGTATATTCTTAAAAGTTTCTTGTTTTACCGAATTAGAAACATGGTCTCATTTCCCTCATGTTACAAACATTTTTCGGAAGGCTTATACATGTTATTCTCATAAATATCAGAAGTAAAATGAACTATATCAGTCGGTAACCTATCTACATATATAATATTTAGTTTATATACCTAATCATAAATACTTAAAAACATTTTTGAAACGTAATTTTTCCTCGTAGGCGGCTATAAGCTGCACCGTGCGAAGCTGGGTTCTTGCTTGTGTGTAATCAGTAAGCAATGAACTTATTATACTTACCAAAAGAAAATCTTTATTTTTGAATACCGCTCATGATTTGCATTTGCGTTTTCTTTAAAGTTGAATTTAAATATAATTAGAGTTCTTAGTAAACACAATAATTTAAGAGAAATCGCGATAAACTAATTCAAGAAATTGAACTCCCGAATTAGAATATTGAGTGTATAATTGCTGTTTGTTTTAATATTCTTAAATAATTAATGCAATTTAAATATGTATAGACAATCAAATATTGTAAATATAAATGTTTTTATAAGGTTAGACAGTGACAAATAAAAAATATTCTTTTAAAATTTGACGTGCGTTTGTTTAAAAGCTTTTAGAAAAATTTACTTCGCAAATATCCGTGTGTTTGTTTATTGAGTATGTATGTAATTAAGAAATTAAAGAATTAAGATAAGGGTGACAAATGAGCATACAGTCCACCTGATGATAAGTGGTTGCTGTAGCCCATAGACAGCTACATCTATCCTCGATTACAAATCAAAATGCAGATGCGTCATCACCCGTGAGGACTAAGTTGGAATGCCCCGGTTCCAGCAAAAAGGTTTCTTGACTTAGCGGTTAGCCATCTTAGAGTCTATATCACCTGAGGATGCCTCGTGTAGAGGCGAAACACGTGTCGTATTATCGTCAGTGGTGTGTCTTGCCTAGTGTAGTGGTGTTGGGAGTAGCGGTGCTGGGATTAGTGGTGAC